GGCAGAGGAAGAGGAGCTCCATCTTCATGGAAGAACGCTGAGAAAGGACACAAGTAGCCTGTTGGAAGAAGGAAGGGATTTTCTGTGTGTTCGCAAACAAAGAGAGCAGATTGGCTTCAGGGAGAGCTCTATTTCCCTTCATGTCATTCAGCACAGGCCCCCTCCTCCCACTGATCTGGGAGGCAACAGCCCCCCAACTGGTTATCAGGTCCTGGAGCGTGAGGGCCTTTGTCTCCCACTGAGACATCTAGCTGGCAGGGCAAGGGGCCCGACAAATCCTCCCTGACCCTCCCAGCTCTTTGTTATCTCAGAGGGAAGATTGCATTTCTGTGTGGGGAGGCAAGATGCCAGGAAACCTCAGAGCAGGACAGAAACAGGCAGAGCTGCCGCTGGCCCCAGTTGCCTGGAGCTGCTCAGGGCTGCCCTGGGGACGCTCTCCCTCCACTGGCCTGGAGTCTTTCCAGCAATGGAAGGTCTGCATTTCAGAATGAGGGGATTTAGAAGGGGTGATACAGAGGGGAGCTGGGCTGGACAGGTAAAAGCAGCCAACTCTCAAATTATTCAGGAGTGTGGCTTCTCTGAATCTCTCACCTGCTCCATCCCACTGCCTCCAGCTGTTTCCCTCAGGACTAGGGGAGGAAGAGCTGGCAAACTGGCAATGGATATCATTTGGGTCTGGCTAAATCTATAGATAAGTTTGTTCAACTGCAGACCAGTGCCCCTCAACACCAAACCGGCATTTAAAGCCATGCATGGTGGTTCATGCCTGTAATCTTCTGGGAGGCCTAGGCTGGTGGGTTGCTTGAGCTCAGGATTTTGAGACCAGCCTGAGACAGAGCGAGACCTGGCCTCTAAAAACAGCCAGGGTTGTGGTGGGGGCCTGTAGTTCTAGGTACTCAGGAGGCTGGGGCAAGAGAATCAGTTGAGCCCAAGAATTGGAGGTCACTGTGAGGTGTGACACCACTGCACTCTACTGAGGGTGACAAAGTGAGGCTCTTTCTCAAGAAAAAGGTATCAAGGGGTGGCGCCTGTGGCTCAAAAGGGTAGGGCGCCGGTCCCATATGCGGAGGTCCCATATGCCAGAGGTGGTAGATTCAAACCCAGCCCCGGCCAAAAAAAAAAAAGCTGGGCATTGTGGCAGGCACCTGTAGTCCCAGCTCCTTGGGAGGCTAAAGCAAGAGAATCGCCTAAGCCCAGGAGTTAGAGGTTGCTGTGAGCTGTGTGATGACAAAGTGAGACTCTGTCTCTACAAAAATAAATAAATAAATAAATAAAAGTATCAAATCAGTGGATATAATAGAAAATTAGAGGGGGTTCTGGGAACTAACAAAACTGGAATTAGCGGACAGCGCCTGTGGCTCAGTGAATAGGGTGCCAGCCCCATATACCAAGGGTGGCAGGTTCAAACCTAGCCCCTACCAAACTGCAACAAAAAATAGCCGGGTGTTGTGGTGGACATCTGTAGTCCCAGCTACTTGGGAGGCTGAGGCAGAGAATCGCCTAAGCCCAGGAGCTGGCGGTTGCTGTGAGCTGTGACTCCACAATACTCTACCAAGGGCAAAAATGTGAGACTCTGTCTCTTAAAAAAAAACAAAAAACAAAAAACTGGGATTAGCAGGGAAGGTCGCTTCAAGGGAAGGGTATGAGTTGGCCTTCTTACAGGCCAGGGATGAGCATTATTTAAAATGCAAGAGACCTAATGGGTGAGTGGCTTAGATAAACCCAGCCTGATCAAGAGCTGGAGAGTTGAAGACTGGAGATAGAGGCTTATAGGGAAAACTCCATAAATGATGGGTGAGGCTCTTCTACAAATATGTGAGTGCCTGTTTTTTATTTAGTTTTTTATTTATTCAGTTGTTCCACAAATATTTATTAAATATTAACTCTTTGGCCAGTCAATAACCATTTCTTGAATGCCTACTATGTGAATGACACTGTATTCGTTCACTTGATGGTCGAAGAGAGAAAAAAATTTAAGGACTCTTTTCTTGAATGGGGGAGTGGGTCAAAATCTTATTTTGTATTCAAGCTTCTATAACCTGTTGGGTTGAAGGGATAGGGTGCAGATGAGGGAATAGCCCCTGCTTTTAATTTTACATAGTGACTTCTTTTTTTTTTGCAAACTGATATGAAATATTTATTCCAAGTTAGTTATTTTATGCAGTAGTTTTTCCCCTTAACAGACTTGTGATAACCACATCTTTTTTTTTTTTTTTTTT